TCCCGACAATAATGACAATGTTTATACCTTTTGTTTCAGACATTAATGTATATTTTACTTAGATTTAATTTAACAAAAAGTTAGGTAAACTACCCTAGCCCTAAGATCTCAATGCCCCTCCTCCCCTAAAAAAACCCTTAGAACTGCGAAAAAAATTATGTTCCCGTAATATGAATAATTATGTTATTTGTAGTGATGTGAATGCATTTTGTCACCAGGCCGAATGGTCTGCAGGCCAAAAAAGTCCGAGAAACACCGAACGAGGTGAAATGAGTTGGCCTCCTAGCCGTAACCGACATCAGTGGCGAGCGATATCGGAACCAGTCGTCAGCCCCTCACTCTTCGCCAACACCCACTGACCAGCGATGGTGAAGTATGACTTACGAGTGGGAAACACTTCATCCAGCAGTTGACTGACAAAGAGTTGTACAGTTTTTGTTTTAAATAAAGCAAATATGTTGCATAACCCTCAAGGACAATACCAGGATATATAACACAATCACACTCATGCTATAAATCCCAATACCTGATTAACCTACTAGTGTAGTTGCACGTGCTTACCGAGTGTCCAAGAATGTATGTGGAGGGCAACTGCATTTAGCATTCATATAACGATGCATCAGCTCTTCGATTAATATTGATTGTTAAGCTCAAGGTAATACACAAAATAACTTGTGCAAAAATTTATACGATTTCCATGCATATATCTCAGATGTAATAGCGGGGGGGGGTGGGGGGGTAGAATAATTACCCCCCCTAGAAAATCCTCCCTGTTGGACTGTAGTAGATGGGCTGCCATGGGCAATGAGAGACGGTTTCCATGCCATTGGTAACCAAATATTCTCTGCATGCCTATGGGGAAGTATGCTTTTGCTGTGGATAAGTGGGGAGGCTGATAGGTAGGGTTTGAAGCCACTGTGAGACTGCCTGCCACTTGGCACAGAGAAAGATTGCAGCATACATTTACCCGGAGTGTAATAAATCTTGCTGGATTCTTATTAGCTCCATCACATGACAGCATATTAAAGTAAGCAAACACCTTTTTCCACTGAAGTGCTGCTAACACAGTGTAAAATTAAATCCTGCCATTAGTAACGTGCTATATAAATGCTCCCAAGTCACTATTCGGACACATGTAAGATTAAAAATAACTTGGCCTATTAGCGTTACACTCCAATGGACACCTACGCACATGTGGGTACACGTGTACAAATAGTTTTTTCATTCTGTAGTCGCTTACACAATATAAAAATTATACTAATTTCAACTTGTAATGCGCTGCACAGCATTCGCTTACCCTCCAAGAAAGACAGTGAAATCGGAGAGCCCACACCAAATTCCCTCCAAAGCTCTGCGGTCCTCTGTATATTAAAGTGGGGATCCTGCAATTGACGTGTGAGAAAACCGGTGCACCCAGAGAAAACCCACGCGTGCGAGTGAGCAACAACTGTATCCTATAAAGATGGAACAGGTGGAGTCCATATCTATTGCACCGCCTTCTCCTGGTAAGTCAAGGCACGGCACCTCCTCAACACCTACGGGAAGGGAGTTTCACAACATTTGAGTGATCCACAAACCCTCGCCTCCAGTGCTGGATTACAAGCGTGCGCTAGCATCGCCCGCCCTAACGTGGTATAGAGTGCAAAATACATCTGGAATCATCATAATATATTTTTTAAAAATTCCAATCAGTAACAGAATCTTTTTTTTTAAACCACCGAATATTCTCATTTATAATTAATTGGGTGGTCACTCGAGATCGGGGCGTCGACATATCACTCGTTGGTTTTAACTTTCAAGCTTAGCTGCCAAGATGACAAGGAAAAGGGCCTGACACAGCACGCGGCCAGCGGAAATAAAGCCTCCGTGTAATATCTACCAGACATATCAAACGAAACAACAACGTGCCCAGACAAACACACAATAAAAGACAGCACCACATGTCGACAGAACAAACACCTTAACACACTCCACTAGAACCTCTTCTGCAGGGACAGTGGTGGCTGTTATAGAATTCAACCGTAATTTTATGTCTAACAATGATAATGGAAAAAAATGCAATCCGCAAACTTGTTTCACGTAGGTGTAATTTAAATATGTTTGACAGATGCACTAACAATGCCAAAAGAAAATCAAATGTGTTTAAGCCCCCCCCCCGCCCGCCGCCCATAAGTAGGCAATGCAAATACAGAGCACAGACACACAAGTATTCGTTTTTTTACCCTCACTTCATGTATAAGAGGTCAATATCCTTCCAATTTCAGAAAACAAAAATTGCTGCAATTTAACTATCTGTTTCCTGAAGCACTGAATCATACGTGAGACCACGTGCGCGAAACAGACCTCCAATTCAGTGCTCATAAACAGTGCTCTGCCAAGCAAGCCATTAATCATCAAAGACTGCACTTGGCTGATGGCCTACATTTCCCATTATATTCAAATGCACCGTACACTCAAAGTGTGACAATGTAATAACTTTCATGAAAGGCTCTCCCTATAAATACTTTTTTTTGCAAGCTAGAAAATCGTAATTATATCTACTCATTTTCATTTTCCCAGTGGACAGTACAATTGCTCCAAAAAGATGGGAAGTAGATCAACTGTTATAGAATGTATAGTGGTCACAGAAACGCAGCCCGCAAGCAATGTGTTATAAATTTAAGGCCGAGTTTTCCTTCAAATGCTCCAGGGGATGAGGAGATCTGGATTACATGTGCAGGATGCATCACAAGCGATGACAGGCCAGCCCTCTGTACATTAAACCTATCGAGCACAGCATGTGGGAATGGCATGCAATTGAACATGCCAACGCAGGACACATACCACGTACCACTGCAATTGTGAAAGTCATACGTATTGCCTGTACAGTTAAGCTTCGATAATTATGTTAACACCATGTGACCTAAGCGCGAGTGCAAGCAACAGGTGCTTCACATAGATATTGCAAAACCTGCAATCGCACTGCACGGGTGATATTTGTAAAAGTTGGAAATTGCTCATTAAATAAATATCTCATTAAAAATAGATCAGATATCCTTTAACTGCAACGAGTTTCACCCCACGTTGCATGTGACATTATATGAAACTAATTGGCATGGAACAGCAGGTTGACATTTAAAACAAAAATACCAGATATCATTGCCACAGGGAAAGTTATTTATCCTGAGCATGTGACATTAATCTTTTGCAGGTCAACGGGCCTTCCAACATTTGAGTTTTAACACGTTGACTTTTTATAATGTTCCATCTTAGTGACAAATCCAATGGCCTTTAAAATGTGAATTGTGTGATAGAACAGTGCAATATCGCCAGAGGCTGTTTCTTCATAAAGTAAAGGCTCCACGGACAGGATTTTCCTCTCCAGGCAAACAATGCTGGCTTTCTGTGGCGTTCCTTGTGACCCCACCTGGTCTGATCTTTGCGTTGTGTTGGATTTCCATGACTGGGTAAATAACGCCGTGGCGATATGTGCGTTTGGGTTCTGTTACCCCCTGCTCGAACTTTAACCCTGGGATACAACAAGCCTGATAGGTGTTTGAACAACAGGACAATTCACACTGCATTTACTGTATCGCTAGGAATTAAATCAAATCTTCAGGTGTCGGGTCCAGTATAAGGGTTACATTTTTACCAAGTGATTCATGCCTACAGGCGAGCTCGATATTAAAAATGCTGTCAAAGGTTCACTCGTCACAAGCCCATAAAACAAAACTGTGTTATAAGTTTAATACCGTTTCAATTGTTTGTAAAAATAAATGCAGAAAAGGCATTATACTGTAGCTCATTGCTATGGGTTAAATGTGTGCTCTTATCCTCATTCAATCACTGAGGGAAGATAAAGGCTTTACGTGACATAGCTTATTTTCAGCTTGCCACAAAAACACTCATTTGGAAACAATCCCGTGCATGACCTTTGTGTTTCTTTAAGCGGCCAGGTGCTATTGCAGGGCATTAAACAATAAATATAGAAGGTTATCTCGCAGGAGTTTCCTGTACACACTTACCGAAGAAAGATCATTGGTCACTTAATGCTGCAGAAATATGCATCGCTACGGGAAGGATAAATTCCGAGTTCACCTCGGGTTGGCCCAAAAAAATGGTGCTTTTGGCAGCTTTTATTTGTGTACACACATGAGACACGTTGATTATGCCGCTGTGTACAAGAAGAGTGCTCTGGGACTGAAATTGCTTTTCCAAAAAGCACATTCTCAGTCCAATCTTACATGAAGCAGTCAAAGATCCCCATTAGCCATATAGACTGTTGAGGCAAGTGCTGTTACCAAGCACCTTTTGATGTCGGCAGCGCACACGAGGGGGTGGTGTGGCCAGACCCCATGCACAGCCACCTTTATCTAGCCAGTGCGCACTGCACCAGATACTCCTCTATAAGGCTGAGTCAACTTAGGGAAGGCACAGGACCAGTTCAGATATCACTTTCAACAGACATCAGCCATGGCCGGCAATCAAATTTCGGTCGATAGCTCGGTCATGCACTAAAACTAACGCCACACACCACCTGCATCCATGTCTGCAAATTTGGCTGTCCCATAGTGTGCAATTTTATTATCCCAGCCATCTGTGCTGTCCACTCCTCGCCTTTCTTCAAAGTCAAAATTCAAGACCTTAATTTTATGCCTCTACCTATAATTTACTCCCTCTTTCTCAATACAAAATACATGTGTTCATTGTGCCTGTTTAGCATATGTACAGCTGCGGCCAGATTCAGACACTATATGAATCCAAATTGTATTTGGATTTATATGACTAGGGTTGCCACACTTGTCCTGATTTTCCAAAAATCATCCGCCTCTCTTTGAGGTTGCCATTTTGAGAAATCTGGACAGCCTTCCCAGAGATATTGCAAGTACAACTTATTCGTCGGTTATGCTTTCTCGCCTAGTTCTCCCTCTCTTCAGGTACTAGGACATATTCTTCCTCGTACGAAACGTCCCTAAATACGACAGCGGGCATAGCACGCACGCTCGCGCTCACGCGCGCACCTGCTGCATCTTCTCGAAGTCGAGGCTCGGCCGGCGGGTGTGCTGCTCCGCCAGGGCCTGCTTGTGCCTCTTGCACGGCGAGGCCTGGTCCAGCGCCGAGAGGGTGAGGCGAGCGCCGCGCGGACTCCACACGACGGGCTGCAGGCAGCGCGGCGGAGAGGCGCTGAACAGCAAGGGGCTCGCGCAGTCCTGCCGCGTGCGCACGACAGACGAGGGCGTGTACGCAGGTGTGTTGTTGTTTTGGGACACGTGCAAGTGGTGTGTGGTGTATGGGTTTTGTGTTCATATAAGGTGTGCGTGTGCGCGTGTGCACGTGTGTAACGTGTATACCGTTTGTGCGCGGAAAAGTAGAGCCACAGGCACAGGGTGGGGGACAGAAATATACGCTTAAATATAGAGCGGATATCGGTTGTAGATTGAACCTGAATGAGGTAAACGTTCCAACTTAAAAGCGGATGTGGAGTCGTACTGCTCTATTTGTTCTGATAATGAAAATGTGTGCCTGCTGTGCTTCCTCCACACCGTATACACATACAACAACCACTGCTAATCACCACAGTGCTTGTGCCAGGATATATGCACCTTAAAGGTACATCAAGTGTCAAAGGCTCACTGGTAGGACGCCACAGGATGGGCCACCGGTATTAAAAATTAAAATAAAAAAGTAAACAATTTTTATTTTACCATGTAGGGCCCACTGAGATATTTAGCTCAGTTACACAATCGACCTGGCCACAAATGAAGGCTCAACAAAGTGGCTTATAATGTGGAAATTAATAGCAGCCAAAAACTCGAAATGCATGTGTCTATATATGGAGCTAAAAACAACGGAGAGAACATGAAAACTAAATATACAGGCATCAGTGTCGGGATCGAACCCAGACGTCCTGTATAACAGGCGAGGTAGTTAACATCTCGCCACCGTGGCGTGTTATTATATAATTGTCCGAGATGACTGGCAGATGCACCGCCTGAGCTCCTCACATGTCAACTCGCTAGACATAGCCACCCGGCGCACTGATCCACATCGAACGCACCCAGACGCAATCCCATTCCTCACCTGTCCGTTCTGTTGTATCGGGCGGAACGCCTTGCTGGTGCACAGATCTTTGACCTCTTCATCACTGGACGAGGCCCTCTCGGGTTGACAGGCCCTCCCAGCCCCGACTTGGCACCACTTCCGTTTCTCTGGCATAGCGGCAACGAAGCCAATGGTGCCGCCTCCTCCTCCTCCTCCACCGCCGCCAGCAGCAGCAGCGGCAGCCGCAGGAGCAACGACAACAGCGGCGACCGCGCCCGCGCCGCCAATCGGCAGCACGGCGCAGCCCGGCACGCTGGACAATGGGGCGGCCGCAGCCATTCGCTCGCGTGCCGTGATTATGCTCTCCAGCTCCTCCTCGGAGCTGGGCCGCTCCAGGCGCGAGTCTGCACGGGCCATTGGCCGGGGCCCGGGGAGAGGAGGCGTCTCGCGGCTGTTTTGCTGCCGGCTCAGGGCGAGTGGCGTTACCTCCTCACCGAGGCGTCGCCTCTCTGCGGCACGCGCACACACACACACGCGCGCGCGCACGCACGGGAATAAGGAGCCCCGGGTTAGTTCCCGTCGGCAGGCTGGCCAACGCCTCCTGAACGGGAGGAATCTTGCACCGCAGTAAACGTCTCGAACATTAAGTCTATTCGCCACGCACTGTTAACGTGAAATAAAGAAAGATGGATTATCAAATGTAGAGCAAGGGCAGCCTTTCAGCCATTCTGAAAAATGCAACCTTATGTCATTCAGCAGGAACAAATAACGCAAATATCACATGACATTACCATATTACATGTATTGGTGTGTTATCAGCCAGCTCGTTACAAATGTTACACATTGATGTAGTAGCTTTATATAGCGTTGTTGCCACACCAAAGCGGTTATTGAAACAAATTGTTGATTTTCTTATCAAATGTGTAGAATTATGAATTGCGCATATTTGGAGTTAAACTAATGTAAACTTTGGAGTAACTAGCATTTTATATGATGCGATACAAGTGCTGTGCCAACATTTAACAAGATTCTCTTTTTACTGAAAGACAAACTAAAGCGTAAAATAAAAACGTCACCAAAATCATGCCTTGCGAGAACTATCAATGGCTCTTTCAGTTTTTTTTCAGACTTTCAGCAACCCCCATGTTGCCAGTTTTCCATAAGCACCACCAGCTATCCCACTTTATTGCAATGTACTTCCAAGCAATTATCGGGATTCTAAAATCAGCACGAAAGTTACTTCATGTCCTCGACACAGTCATTATGAAAATGTATAAAAAGCAACCGTTACACGGCTACATTGTCCGCGCCAGGTGAAATCTCCACCATCGTCTCTCACCCGCCATGCAGCGAGGGGAGGGAAGTGAACGGGGGCAATTTTACTGTGCAATGGCTTACTTTGTCGGGGGGGGGGGGGGGGGGGGGGGGGGTGAAAAGAGGAGACTGTTTAAAGGGAGGCCTCAAAGAAAAGGCTGTCCCCCCCCCTTCTTCTCCATAAAACTGGCGTCAAAAGGGGCTGTATTTAAACGAACATTCGGATGTGCTAAGTTAAAGTCCGAGCAACAGAGTAGAACTCGATGTATTGCACATGCGCAAACAGCACGCCAGGCACTTCACAGAGACAGGATCAGCGTTAGAGGCACGCCGCCGTCGTGGTGGGGATTGTCACTCGGGAGACGTGAAGCACTCCCTCGCGGAAGCCTCCGCCGGCCTTCCTTTCAATCCTCTAGCCTCCCGACGCGAAGGATATAAACCACTCTTTTCAAGGACTGTCCTTTTGTTGTCCTCTCGGTGCCATAAAAATGCCCAAATAAAATTATATGTACGTTGTTTTTTTTCCCATTGCACCCAGATGGCATACATGCCTGTTCTGTAGATTATTTGAACTCAATCTTGACATAAATATATATATTTTCTTACAATTCCTTCGAATAGTCACTGCCACTTCATGGAAAAACACACCTCCATTTGCATAAAGACATACATAATGAAAGCAATATACAATTTATGTTCCTTTGACAGTACTTATCACGATAGATATTCAGCATAACTTAATTCAATTGCATTGCATTTCGAGAATTCTCCAGTGTATTTGTGTTTCCAACGCACAAATCAATGATCTGGTAATGAGAAGTGGTGGGATGAATGACACAGCATAGGAAGACCTTCACCAAGCAGCGGATTGACAAATGACTCTTCCATGTATGTACATTGAACTTCTTTCACGCCGTACGTAGCCAACCGTGCTCATCGGAGGGGAAGGACAGGTAGTAAAGTACTCATGCAGAGTCTGCACTTTAGATCGTTTTCTTAACAACAAGAACCCCCATGTGGTTTGTGAGGAAGGCATGTTGTCTTTATAAATGCTGCATGATGAATGTATTCTTCGTGCCAGGCTTCCTCTAAAATGCCTGATATTTACAAATGCTATCCTGTTTTAAAAAAATTAAATGTCATGGCAAACCATCCACAGAAATAAGATTCCATGAGGTTGGCTATAAAAATACGACAGCCCTCAAGGCAGCAGTTAAGCACAGTTTGCACGATGCTTCTGCAGCCAGGTTTACCACATCCACCACCTTCGCGTGCTCACTGTAAAGACACGGCATTGGAAAGAGTTCACTCAGGAACGTATCAAGCATTATGGTATCAACGTAAGGCTCAAGTTTCTCATGCAGGCTAAAATAAGCGACCAATTGTTTTGAGATTCCTATGGGTTTCACTTGCCACGTGGGACATTAAAACTCCCATCAATGTAGCTGATGCCTCAAAGTGCAACAAGTTGACCACAAATCAGCACACAAACTCATTATGCGTTACCGTGGAGCATTTTGTAAAGGCACATTTAAACAGAACTCTGTTCTGTGTCTCCACATGTACATACACGTATGTTTAGTCCATCAGCATATTGGCTTTCCAAACGAATATTATCAAGCAACATATGTTTAAGCAAGCAAAATCAGCACCGGTTTCGACCTTCTAGGACTCTTCATAAGAATAAGGCTTGTTAAACAAATATTGCTGAATAACCAGAAGTTCTTGGTAATATACCTGCACACGAGAATTCATCAGCCAAACCAGCCAGCAATTCTCTCCTGGGCCAGGCCAGACGCACAAGACTCCACAGTTGTCTTACCGAGTGCCCGGTTTTCTGATTAAGTGGACGGAAAGTGGAGCATGTGCCCCCCTCCATGTCAAAGCCTCATCTGTCAACCCATACCCAGGAACACTCCGGCAAGACAGATGCCTTTTTTCCTGGCACTGCGTGTACCATTCAGTTTACGTGGCACTAACAGGACCGACGACACACGCGCAGACGCACCGACGCATGTACACACACACATACACGCATGTGTGGAAATGTATTCAGAAGCACTTAACACATGTGCCTACCAGCTGCAAACGTACAGAATCAACGGTGAGGGTGAGAATATATGTGGCATAACGTCTTAGCGTGTCATGTTAATAAAACACCTTTAAGATTGCATAATTAGCTCATTTATTGAAAATAGTTTTCTCGTACACTGCATGCGAAAGTATAAACGAGTGCTGTATGTCTGTTAGACTTTCCATAACAATGTGACAATTAGACGTATATTTAAACAAACTCTACATTAATATCAAAGGCATATAGGCCCTAATAGTGAGTCACCACTAAAGCCAGAGGGCATTTGTGTTTTCGATGCGTGCATGAGCTATCTAGTGAACAAGCTACGTTGGGCAGCCTAAGCGGTTGTGTTTGGCGTTAGCTGCAGAGATTCGCTGTTCGAATTCAGTGGCTGCTCCAGATTAATACTGCGTTGTGTGCGTTGTGGGTATTAATCGTCACGATAAATACCCACAACGCAACAGTAAGTCCCATTGTGCACCAACGGTCATTGGTCCAAATTTGAACAAATACCTGCGAATCACTCAATTGCAATATACATAGCAATCACTGCCTCCCCCCCCCCCCCCCCCCACCGTACGCACTGCAAAAGCTTGGCAGGACCCTCCTGAAAAAGAGTTATGAGACTCAGTGAGGCTCTCTTGAGTTAACAAGCCTAATAAAACAAACTCAGGGAATGCATACGAAAGCAGTGCTGTGTAAAGCAGCGCTGTGTAAATAAAATACTGGTATCACATGCACATAGCCATTCCTTAAAATGTATCATATTTCAGTTAAGCTCAGTATTTATTAAGTGACGTCAATAACCTAACGAGTCACTCTGTATATTTCCTCAACAACAACAAAATAAACATACCACGCACACCATTCAGAGTGCGTACCATGTGCATAAAGTGCACGCACACACAAGATCTTTAAACCTGCTGAGCGACTGATGCAAAGTGCAAACTTTCCAGCATTCCATCCAGCCCCCCCCCCCCCACACACAATATACGTAGCTGCAGTCCTTGATATTTGAGATGTATGATAAAAGTCCCTAAATCTTTTTAAAAGTAATGCGTTAGGCTTAAACGATGACAAAATGTAAGTATAATCTTGAGAATGTGTGAAACAAGGGCAAATACATTTTTTTTACAAGGTTAGAAAATGGAAATAGTTGCACAAGAGTTATATGCTGGTACTTTGAATAGACCAAGTAAACGACTTAAGAAGTATCTTTAGTTTATAAAATAACATTTCTATTCTTATTTATGAAGTGTGTTCATAGGAAGACCCATTTCATATTCTGGGGAATGTTACTCAGAACTGTTGAGCGTAGAGGAGTGAAATCAGGACAAATCGACCCTCTGCAGCAGTGTAATCTCTCCCGCCCGTGAGCAGGTAGCACAGGAGAGGAGACTTGGCGTTTCCTTTGAAGGACAGCGCAATGTGTATCAACAAGGACACAGAGTCAAGCGTCCTATTTTGAAAACAGCTGCTCCAGCGTTTAGGAGCTCAGAAAAAAAAACACATTTTCCCCAATGTTATCCCGCTCATGCTATCAATGCCACGTAATGAGACGAAGAATTCCAGAAGTATAGCAGAGTAGCGCAACCCTTCGTGGTGGAAAACAAGAGCGTGGTAGTGGACAGCAGATAACTGCTCCTGAGATCCGTTCAAGAGCAGCGCAGCTTTTAAATGGGAGCGCGGTACTGTCACATGATGGTCCTTCATTGAAAAACTGTCGACACCAATTATATAACTCCCCTGACTTAGGACTTCAAACTGCATCAACTTACACCCGTACGGCCAAAAATATAAATGCATTTGTAGGTTTAAAAAAAAGCACTTGATATAAACAGTGATAAGCATTGAGTTCCAGCATAACGAGCAGACGTACACACGTGTCAAAGCATCGACCAACATCTTAACGATTGTTGACGAATGATTAATAGTCTGTGGCTTGAGAGATGTGGGGCCTGGAAGCCTATGGAACGAGGAAGGATCATTAACTGCGGGGAATGTTGGCTTATGCGAGGGTAGATTAACTCTGTCACAGGACGGAAAGGAGGCCTCCTTGCACCTGATGCCACGTGCTCTTGCGCAATGGAGCAGTTAAATCTTGGGTGCATTACTCTGCTT